ATGTTGACTTTCCTCATCAGGAATTCAATTATTGTGAAACCATGATGATAACCATGCAACGGAAAAAACCCTTCCCTGCTCTCTTTGCACCAGGAGCTGAAGGATTTGATGTATCTAATCTACATTTGGGATTCCTGGCCGCAGAGATATGCAACGTAAACAACATGGCAGTAAATATTCATTTTCTGTGGGATTAAGCCTAAATATGCTCTGCTGTTTGGCACTGTAGTCACAAACTGTTGCTAAGAAAAAACCCCTCCACCACCACAGACAGCGCAGGGAGAGAAGACAAGAGATGCCACAGAAAGTCACTGGCATCCAATAGCACTTCAATTCCATATGGAAATAACAGGAAATAAGATGTGCCGAATTTGAAGCACCAAGGCAACAAAAACACATTAAGATTTCATCACACAAGAACTTGGCTGTAAAATCCGTAATTTTCTTGATCTTTTTAGGGAGTTTTCATTTTCAGGAACATCAGAGAGCTAACAGCTCATGGATGCTACCAAGCAGCTCGAGCAGGCATTTGCATTAAGCTGATTTTAGTTAATTAAGTGGTGGAAATGCATCTCTCCTACACCCAGAAACCACTTCCACAATCAGATTCCTTGTCAATCTCTCCCTTTTTACAGCTTGGAAAAACTACAAGTGGAGAAGGTTGGAAGAAAAGGTGGAATGAATAGGAATGAAAAACACTGGAGGTGCTGTTATTTTTCCCCTTCCCTAGAAGTAATAATATGACAAAAATTAATGTCTGTGGTTAAACAGAGAAGAAAAAAAAGGGTTGTTTTTGGAGTCCAGCCAAACTCATCACCTAAGGAATTTTACCCTCAAATTCCAGAAAGGTGGGAATGGGAAAAATACAAAAACCATTCAAATACTCTCCATGAAACCCAGCTGAAAACTATTATTCTTGCAAACAGTGACACTCTTCTTGCAGAAAAGAGCTTTTCCTGCCCCTCAACTTAACACCCAGCACATGCAGACAAACTTATTGAAGCTTTTTCTTCAGCAAAGCCTCGTGTGTGCAGGGCAGAGATGCAAATAAACTGATGAGAGCAGCATCTCTCCGGGAATGTTTGGAAAGCAGAGCTCCACCAGAACGATGCTCACACGTTCTGATGTTGCATTTGCACAATTAAAGCTCTTTTCAGAGAGATTTGGGTTTATAACTGTTAAGTATTAACAGATTACTTAGAAATAGTTACCAGATTTTTGAGCTGTAGTCATTTGTAACATCAAGCTCTAGATAACTCACTCTATGCTTGAAAAAAAGTATTAAATTGGTTTATTTAATGAAACAAATCCTGCTCTTAACAGCAACATTAGGAGTGCCCAGTGGTGATACATTTAATAAAGAACCTGTACACTCTGATAAAATAAAGGAATCTTGACTTTAAAAGCAGCACTAATTCTGAAGTAGTTTATTACCCCACAATAAAGTGAATAAAGAGATTAGAGTCCAACCACACTCATGGACAGCTCACAGGGAACACACCAGCAGAAACAATTTTAAACACTGCCAAGCCTGTGGCAGGATTTTTCAAGGGTTACCAAGTGAGTAATGAAAGGACAGTAAAAAAAGAGACATTACACAAGTAAATCAAAGAAAAAGTCTCATGTTCCCCCTCAATTCCTTCAGGACACCCAACCATTCAGCTTGTAAAGTCACACCATGCAAAGCAGGTTTTACAGTTCTCAATAGATTTTTTTTTTTTAGAGGGGAGGTAAAAGACACAATTTAAAAAATAATTTCTCAGGTAATAATTGCTGTGACACAGGAGAATGATAAATTAAAAAATCAGAGAATAAAACATCCTCCATGCAGTGAAAATACAACTTCAACTACAGAGGTGTCTGACATGCCAGTAAATTACTCAAGATCATCGGAGTGGCTTGGGAGTGATCTGGCATTAGGGGAAATAATGAGGACCAACACTTTTCTGATGTGGTTCTTTCTGCTTAGGTGAATTTGAGCTTGATTTTAGCTTCAGCTCTAAAAAATCCGGCTCTTGCTCCCTGTAGGAGCCTGCAGAGCTGCTCTGATTTGGGACCAGCCAGGTACAGGACAGGTATCTCAGGTGAGATGATGGGCCGGGAAATGAGGAGTTCATGAGTAACAAAAGGAACGATGAGATTTTAAACTCAGATTACGAGTGAGGAAAATCCTCCAAACTCCTTCAGCATCACCCACACTTTGAGCTGCACGGGGTGTAGGTTTGATAAATCTCAGAAAATGCTGAAAGTGCCCATTCTCTGCTCCTGTGATCACAAAAGCACCAGAACACGAGCACGCTTGCCAGATCAGATCTGCAGAGCCCGCTTTGATGAAAAAGCTGCTTCAGTCACAACTTTTCCTGTGAAGCTCCCTCCAACCTCGCCTCACCTACAGCACAGGCACAGGAAGCTCGTTCTGAGATATTTTATGATTAATTCAGGTTTTTCTGCTCCTCTGAAATGCAACATGGCCACAGGTTTATCTCAGGAGTTTATTGAGAACCTTGACCCGGGCACTTTGCTTTCTTGTTGAGTTAATGTGCATTCATCTCCTACAGATGGGTGCAAACCTACACCCACTTTTATCCAGGCATCTACAAATATTTTAAAGCCTAATAACAACACAGATGCTCTTTCTCAAATATCTTAGTCAGAACAGGGAAATATTTTCACTCTCTTAACAAACTCACTGGAAATTCCTGTCCATTTGCAGTACATTTCCAGGATTTCATAGTGCAGTTTACAGATAATAAAATAAATCGCTTTGAACCTAAATAGCACTTCCACACCCACCACGCAGGGAAAAAACCACAACATTTTCACCTATTAAAAGAAGCCCGGTATTAATTGGCCATGTAAACATCTGCAGAAAATAGCTGTGTTTAAAAATAAATGAACAAACAGAGGAAAGCAAAGCCCCAATTGCTGAAAGAGAGGAGCTGGAGCTGCACACCAGAGAGAGACATCTCCACACCTGAACTCCAGGATTTTCTCAACCACTGCCAATATTTCAAAATGTAAGACCTGGGCAAACTGATTTTCACACCAAAGACTGGAAAAAAGAAAATTCTGGTGAGGATGATGTTAGAATCAATCCATCAGGTGGGGTTTTAAACTGAAATAAGTCACTTAAGAAACACTTCTCATAAAAACGCCTGCACTTCAAGCTTAAAATCTTTCATAATCTTGTAGTTCTGATCATAAAGCCAACAGTTTACTGTTGAATTTATTTATTTTTAGACTTGCCTAAAATTGTAGAGCGTCTGCAGCCCTGGTGTGAGTAGAAAATAGTATAATAATTGTTAAGTACCGGAACACTTAATGTGTAATACTGGAATAACCACCAAAACAATGTCATTAACATGAGAAGCAGCCCGGATTGCAGGCAGTTTCCTGCTCATTTAGCCAAGATTAATTCTTCACAAGGCAGGAGGAACATTCTTTTCACCTTACCAAGGACAACCCGAGCGAGCAACGTTCAAGAAAAGACGTTCCTTATTGCTTAGCTGTTCTTTTTTATGAAGTCTGATAGGTAATGTCAACAAAAACCACTATTCTGTGCTCTAGGCAAAAGGATCTTGGAGGTGGACGTGGAAGGGAGACAGGCACGGAGAGCAGATGGCAGCAACTCTTTCAGAAACTGTTCCAGAGAGGGGGAAAAGTTTCCCTAAAGAACACATTGCTGAACTGAGGGAACGCTGCTGAGCTGAAAAATCAGGCTTTGGGAAAAGCCGACACACACGTCGTTACTGCAAGGCAAAAGCTGTCAGAAATCATGTTGGGTTTCGAAAGGAGAATAAAAATTAAACATCCCGAACAAGCTCCTGGCTGTCCTTAACCCTCTGGTGAGCACAGGAAGGGATTTTGGGTTTCTGCTGGCAGCGCTCGCCATTTCACAGCACATTTAGCGCACACAGCGCGGATCGATAGCACTACAGACACAAGACGAGACTTATCCATTTACTAACCACAGCAAAACGGCCTCTTCAGCAAAACCCTGCCGCTCCTAAGGCTGCAAATGTAAAAGGCATCCTTACAGGGATCCCATTACTCCCTTCTCCCGGTCACACGGGCAGCCTGGGAGCTTTTAGCCTGGTAAACAAGTGTAGCTCCGCACACCCTGTAAGGATGCTGAAAACCCACCCAGAGCACTCAGCACACGGGCACGGAGGGCCAGGCTGGCTTGGGAACTCGCGGGAGATCCTCGCCCAGCTCCTGAGAGGGTTTTGGTGACACTGATGGAGCCCCGAGCACAAACGGACCGACAGCTGCCCAACCACTGGTTGCTGCCATCGCAATTTTCCTGCTGGAGAAGCGAGGGGAGTCCCCACACCCCGCTCGCTTCCCAGAGCTGCCGTTTGAACCTCAAACTCTGCTGTTTTAAAGAGGAAATTCAGTAGATTTTTTTTTTTGTAGCAAAATACAAAGGGTTACAAATGATTCTTTAGAAACGCAAAGCCTGGCTTTTCACCCCAATTCTGTTGGTACATCTCCACACGCACACACCCCTCGCCACCACCACCAGCAAAGGACGAGCTCAGCCTTTCAGAGCGGCACCTTTTCCAAATTAATGAAGCATTAACCAAGGTCGCGATTCACCAGTGAACAGTCCGGGGTAAGAGACATCAAACTGGAGCAAAGAGCAATTTCAGCTGGGTAATTCTTATTTAAAAGCAGCATCCAACACCCATAACTGCGCTGCCAGGTTACTTGAGTGACACTAGGTGGTTATGTCTCCACATTTATTCCACACAATTGAGCTGAAATCCAAGCGCTGGGAGCGTTTCAAGTGCTCACGCTACATATATATATATATATTTATTTTTTTTTAAGAATAAACACGAAAGCAGCTTCTGCCTTTACAGTTGTTGCCATCCACAAACATTTGCCACCTGAAAAAAAATAAATCGCTTCCCATTCATACAGAGCCAGCCCAAGTTGCCAAGTGCTGACCCCAAAGCCCTCAGTTTCAAGTGACAAATCCAGGAACATTCACTTACCTGACGAGCAAGAGATAAGAAAAACAGCGAACGCCAACTTAGTAGCAGCTCCCATTTTCCAATGCTGTTAAAACATTTAAGTGACTTTAAGTATCCAGTTTTCTGGGTCCTGCAAGCTGGAAAAATCTCCCTTCTTGCTGAACCGTTATAAAGCGATTTATAGCAACATTTCTGCAGCAGGTAGTGTTCATAAAACACTAAAAATCAGGTTTGTTTAGACACTGACGACCTCCCCGCGGCTCTTTCTAGAGAGAATCCGAGTTGAGGGAGGGATAAATATATTTGGAACCGTGTTTCAAAACACACGTGTCATTTGGCTTCTGTACAAACGGTGGCAAAATTCAACTCATAAAAGTAATGCTACGAATCCACTTTAAAAAAAAAAAAAATTAAAAACCAAAACAAAATAAGTCAACGATCAAGCTGCTGAGCACGACGAAGTCTCTGAGTCTCCAAGTGTTTTCCACATCAGGCGCAGTGAAGGATCATCCCTGGTGGGTGCGAGTGTCGGGGGTCGGATCGGGATCAGTCCGAGGCGATGTTTTCGTCCTGCCTCCCCCCTTCACACCCCGTGTAGTGTTTGGGAGAAGAGCAGCTCCATTCCAGTTCCAAACCTCGAGGCGAAGAGAGGAAGTTTTATTTTTTTTTTTTTTTGTCAGTTTGTCGATGAAAAAACTACCTTTAAAAAACCAGCCACCAGCTACACGTGGGTTTTCTTTAATAAATGCTGAGGGGTTCAGCGTAGCCCAGGAGAGGGGAAGGGGGGAAACAACAGTCTGGGGACAAACAAACCTTCGGGCTCCCCGGGAAGTGGCAAATCTCTAGTCCTTGGGCAGGCAGCGAGAGCAGTGCATCCCCCCAGCCTTCGCCGCCCTTCTCCAGCACCAGCACTCCCGAATCCCAGCAAGATTTCCAATTCTTCTAGGAGATTTCCATCCCCTCCCCCCGCGAGAGGCTATATTTGGTATTTAACACACAAGAGTGGCTGGGGAGGGGGGGGGTACCAAAAAAGTAAAAAAAAAAAAGGTACCAAAAAAAAAAAAAAGAAAAAAAATTAAAAAATTAAAATGCAGTATCCAGGCGCTGGGGAGGAGGGTGGTATATATTCTTTGTGGCAAATCCTCGCCGTGCTTCCAGGAGAACCAGGTTTCTTTGGAAGGGAGGCGGCTGTGCCTCACGGCGGGCTGGGGCTGGATGGATCCAGGCTCCTCCGGCTCCTCACGGGTCCTGGATGGATCCTCGCTCCTCTCCCTCCTCACGGACACATCTCCTCCTCGCCCCGCCGCTGCTCACACGGAGACTCCACGAAATCCACTCCTCCGAGCTCAATCCAGTTCTTGCCTTTTTCTTTTTTTTTTTTCCTCTTTTTTCTTTTCCTCCTAGGAGCGAGCAGCAGGAGACGGCAGGGGCGGGGAGGCAGAGCCTTCTCCCCGCGCCTCCCACACGGCGGAGCGGGGAGCGATCCCCTCGTCACCCTCTCCCCTAACTCTGACCCCGGCTCAACTCTCCGGTCTCCCGGGCGGCGGAGGCAGCGCGGCTCAGCCCAACTTTGTCCCTCCAGCAGTGCAGCTTAGGGGCTGGCGAGGCGAAAAGGCCGAGCCGGGGGATTCTCTCCGGGCGGCGGCGGCCGTGCCTAGAGCCCGCCGAGTGTCGCTGGCAGCGCGGAACAGCCCTCGGTGCCCTGCTGCCGCTGCTCCCCCGTGGTAATCTCATATCTACCCATTCACCCGTGTGGCGTGTGGAGAACCGGCCCAAGATGGCGGCGCCCGGGCGATTGTTTTTGTTTCCTCTCCGCCTCCCCCTCCTTCCCCACGGCCTCGGCGGCCGCCCCGGATTGACAGCCACGTCACCCAATCACAAAGCGGTTTTGGCCGCTTA